TCGAGGTGGAGAGGTTTAAAAAGGGAATTCCAAAGCTGGGGGCTGAAACAGTGGAAGGCATACACAGCAAAGGTGGAGCAGTGAAGACTGGGGTATGCATAAATGAACTAGAAGAGTATGTGGATTTTGTAGTGTTGTGGAAATTGAAGATGTTGGAGAAGGGAGAGGCCCTGGTGGGATCTTAAGATGAAGATGAAAATTGTAGGAGCTGATGTAGGTTAGCAAGCAACAAGGCTGATGGTTGAACATGACCTAATGCAGGTAAGGCTATGGACAGAATCATCTTGAATGAGCTCAAGCTCATTGAAGAGTGAAAGATGGAAGACTGATCATGAGAGCATTTAATAGTTGAGTTTGAAGGTAACAATTACATGGAGTAGGGTATTAGTTGGAGATGAGCTGACACAGGACCAGAAATGGTAATCCTACAGAGGTGAAAGGAGGCTATCTTCATGAAAGAGGGGGTTATGGTGTTGGAAGCTCAGTTCATGTTAAAAAGTTGGGTTCCAATTTCAGTTTTGGTCTCTGACAGTGGCCAGGAAGAGACCGGGTTTGTAGTTGTGCTGGGGACTGAAAACTACAGCTTTAGTTTGCCTCCTGCCTAATTGAAGAAAATTTCTGCTTAATCAATATTGAACATGCATCATGATAAATTAGAGGCTATGTAGAGATTGAGAAGTAATGATGACATTAGAGAATACAGAACATAAGAGCTAGGAACAGGAGTAGGCAATTCAAACCTTCAAGCCTGCTCTGCCATTCTATATGATCATGGCTGATTGCATTTCTGCCTCAGTTCTACTTTCCTGCCCGCTCTCCATTTCCCTCAACCCATTACCAATTAAAAATTTGTCTATGTCCTCCTTAAATTTATGCCTCAGCATACACCACGCTTTGAAGAATTGAATTCCACAGATTCACAACCCTTTGAGAGAAGTAATTTCTCTCATCTGTTTTAAATCTGCTACCCTTTATTCTAAAGCTTTGACTTCTCGGGTTAGATTGCCCCACTCGAGGAAACATCCTTTCCACATCTACTTTGTCAATCCCCTTCAGCATTTTATATACTTTAATTGGATTTCCTCTCATTCTTATAAACTCCAGAGAGTATAGGCCTAAACTGCTCAATCTCTATTCATAACGCAAGCTCCTTATCTCTCGAATCAATCTAGTGAACCTCCTTTGAACTGCCTGCAATACAACTACATCCCTTCTCAGGTAAGGGGACCAAAACTATATGCAGTATTCCAGGTGCAATCTGACTAATGCCTTGTATGGTTGCAGCAACACTTCCCTACATTTATTTCTGATGGAAGAGAGGATAAATGCCAAAAATTCCATTTTCCTTCCTTATTGCTTGCTGTAGCTGCATACTAATTTTCTGTGATAAGTGCAGAAGGACACCTAGATCCCTCTGCACCGAAGCATTCTGAAGTTTCTTTCCATAACATGCTGATAAAAGGGAGGCATTTCACAGATTTACTTGTCTTTCAGAACATGTCAGGATTTTAGTGACAAGTTAAGAACATGAATATTTCTGAAAAGAGAGACGTGTTGGTGTAGCTTTTTATATTGCATTCATCAGGACAAACATGAATACCAAATTTCTAGCAATCACAGCAAATTATAGCACAGGAGAAAAATGTTCATTGTTAGGTAAATTGACTCTGGCTGAAAGTGTTACTATAGAGAAAACATTAGGGAACTACAGGTCTGTCATGCTTTTGGTAGTTCAAAAAAGATGCACAAGGCTCAAATGTGTTTCTTCAGTTTGCAGAGAATGGGTTCTTGCACGTGAATCATCGTAAAAAGTGAGTTGGAGCATATAATTTAGTGTGTTAACATTTTCATAGGTTTTCATAAGAAATATGTTTTGATGGAATGAGCCTCAACTTCCTGCCCAGTGTATATTTCTAATGTGTTGAAGAAACATTTGAAATTTGGCTTTCTTGTATTCATTCTCATGAGTGCAAGGCAAAGTTTGTGCCACATTTCTCACTTTTCACTAACAAAACAAGTTAAGTACTTTTGTCAGGTTATTAGCGCTATAATATAATGGCCTGGCTTTTATGTGGTACTTTGCTCAATGACACTGAGCTATGTGATTATTTTGAAGTTATGCCTATTTAACATCATGAAAGGAATTAATGCTAGTGGATTATTGCTCGACCTACCCCAAAATACTCTGACCTAGCATGAAATGAGAAGATGTCTGGTTGTGGAGATTAGGTTGATGTTGCAGTCAAAACCTGTCACAGCTGCATGATTTTGATAGACTGGAGGGAATTTTACAAACTGGTCTTTAAATCTTGTTTAATCCTAAGGTCAAAGTTGTTACATTAACAAAATAGGCCTAAAGCAGCCTTCATAAAGTACTAAGCCATAAATGCTATAAAATGCCAGAGCATTTAATAAACTTTTTATATACTAAAATGGTTAAAAGGTGAATCTGTGGGCTGCATCAAAAGCACATTCTTGTTTTGCCCCAGATGAACTATTTTGTTACATTTTAAGGTCCAGTAACTGTATTACATTAGGAATAGAGGGCTGTGATCATTTGGAGTAAAGATAATTGTAATGTGCATTTAAACACAGCACTTCCTCTTCCATTTCCCCTTGAGATGGTCTATAGAATATTACCATCAGGGTTTCTTATCCAGGGTTCTTTCAGCTCCAGTTGGTAAATTATAAATACTGGCCATAGAACTTGCCAATTCTTAACAGCATATTATTCCACACTAGCAGTATTGTCACAAATGTTAATCTTTCAGTAAGTGTCATCAGGCTTCAGTGAGGGTAAATGTATTGGCAGTCAACATCTGCCAACCAAGTCAGATGCTGTCAACACAAAAAAAACTGAACAAAACCTCCCTGTAATTTTTTTTAATAAAAGCCCTGGAATGATTTCAAAGCAGAAATGTAATAATTTGATTCAGATGACAGTTCAAAACCATTGAAGCTTCAATCTTGTGGTTCAGGGCATTGTTATAACCCCTCGATTAGACTAATACAACACAATTGCTCCCAGTCATCAATTATTCTGTATAAATTCCATGAAATAAACAAAGACCAGCATTTGCATTGTATAAATTCAAATGAGTTATCCTTTTGTTTATGTGGGGAGGGTGGACAGACGATTCTCTGGGTTGCTGAAGTTCATGACCAATATCATATTGATTGTTTAGTCAAGTTTTAAAAGCACAATATGAAGACTAACCACTGGAAATGAAATGTTGTCAAGATTCCAGAAGACTCTGCCTTTTGGCTAGAAACCAGTAGTAAAGGTTACATGGGAGGTTACACTGGATTAAATTTCATTGAGGTTTTGTACAATTTACGCGAGACCTCTGACTACTCTTTAGCTTGACTGACCAGCAATAATAGGCAGCTTAGCATTAGCCTCGGAGAAGAATTTGCTGAAGCAGATGGAAGGTTTTTGAAGTTGACAAAATGAGGCTTGAGATGTTAGACAATCTTGTTTCTTGTGCTTGTAACTCTATATTATTCTTTAGCTGCGCTGAAAAATTGTACTGGTAGCTTTATATGTTAAAGGAAAGCTTTAATTTCCTTTCATGAGTCTGGCATTTAAGGATTGTTATCACACATGTTGGTGAGAACCTTGTTCTTTTCAACTAATGAATTTCTATTACATTTACTGACCCAGTGAAGTCAAGAAACAAAAGGGGAACTAAGAACTCTGTACATTTCAGAGTAAATGTCACGTGACTCCACATCATGCTTTTGTTTTAATTTCCTGAAATTATAGCTATCCGAGCATTTAGGGTGGTTTTTGCATGTTTTATTCTGAGTAAATTGCCCCTTAAATATGCTAATCCAACTGACTTCTTCAAATGGCTCATTGTTGCTTGGAATGTAGATTGGAACTGGGTGTATTAAATTGAAGCATGTAACCATTCAAATTGCTATGTCGACGGATAGACGTAAAATGCCTTTGACCAATACAGAGAAAATGACATTAAAGTTTAATGTTGGCTTGATTGTAAACAGTTCTCTTGAATATCTTTGTGTTCTCCAAACTATTTTTAGGTATGTTTCAATTCAAGTTGAATGACTGCAGCATGGAATGCTTGTATAGCTAAGCTTGGCTTACTTATTCTAGAGCTGACTAATAAACCCAGCTTTTTTAAGTTTCAGAGTCTGCTGCCAGGGCAAAGGAGCTAGATTTCAAACTGTAAACTTGGAGCTTCTCACACTTGGAAGGCTGCAGGACTTTCAATTAATACCAGATCATTATAAGGCAGCTATTACATTGCGTTTTGTTGTTGCAGGGAAGACATTTTGGCTGCAGTTTTTATTGCATGCACTGTTCTGAGAATCTTTTTTTTCCATGCTAAACTGAGTAAATAGATTGAAGTTACGTTGTCACTTAGATTTGTTTCTTCCAGTGCTGATGGCATTGCATCATTATGTACGTCAATTTAATGCCTTGCTGTACACCTGCAAATTGAAAGTCTGATTTCAAATCCCACTGCTGGGACTATCACTTCGACTTTAATTAGTCAGCTGGTTCTCAATTTGTACCGCCACGTCTGCATTATTATGAAGTGGAAAGTGGCAATATAACTACAGACTTAAATTAAAAATCCCCTCAATAGTTGGTGTTTGGCAAGAATCTACTGCAAATAAGCTGTCAGACTTTATGGGCTTAGGTAGTAAAATTTTAATTAATGAGTAATGTTAAATGCTTGTTACCCGTGAGTATTTTGTCAGCAGTATGCGGTGCAGTTTAAGCATTTTAAAATGTAGTCTTGGTGGTTCAATAAGAGTGAGGCAATATGTCCATTTTTAAACAAATATCCTTCTTTAATACTTTCATTTGGTAAATTGCTAAGGGCAATGGACAATACTATAAATACTATTGTAAATATAAATATTTTGTAAATACTATATATTTGTTTTGAATATCATAACCATTCATAGGATTGTATAGGGAAATTGAAAGGAATTTTAGTTTTAAAGCAGCTATTATGTCTTCACAGAGCAATTCCCTGTTGGTACCTGATAGTCTGCGAGGCACTGATAAGCGCAGGAATGGACCTGATTATTCTAATGATGTGAAAAAGAGGAAGGTTGATGATAAGGACACCGTGAGCCACTATGTAAGTGCATACAGTCAAGGCTTCGGAAGAATGCAGACTTACCTTCAAATGCAGAACCTAGCCATATTTAGCACAAAATGTGAAACCTTGCTAATATTTAACAAAATATCTATGATGAAATAAAGCATTCAAACAAATATGATTTATGTGTTACAAGTGAGAAGTTTGCTGAGTTACTTAATTGTGAATTTTCTAGAATTATAAAGCTGTTCAATAATGAAGGAGGCCATTTAGCCCATTGTGTGTTCACTGGCTGTTAGAAATAGCTATTGAATAAGTCCCACTCCCCATCTCTTTTCTAAAGCCCTGCAAGAATCTTCTTTTCAAATATGTATATGATTTTGTTTCAGAAGTTACCATTGAATTGGCTTCAGCCAGTCTTTCAGGTTGTGTATTCTGGATCATAGCAATTTGCTATGTTCAAGAAAATAATCTTCTCATCTCCCCGCTGGATTTTTTGTCCATTATCTTAAATACTTGAATTTCCAACTTTTGTGCCAGTGGTAACAGATTCTTTGTATTTGCAAACCATTTTTGAATGCTTGAATGAAATCTGTGTATGGGTTAAGTTCTTAGAAGATCATAAGTGATAAGTAAAAGTGCAACCACATCTGCAGTCCTGCTTGAGGGAGAAAATCTGAGGTCATTCCGCAATTTCAGCTGAGCAAGTGGGATCATGAGAGAAGAGTGCTTAAAAATGACAGCAGAAGAAACACTGTCTGAATATTAACTAGGGCATGTATTGGTACTAATGGGAAATGAATGTTGTGTGGTTGGGATCTAAATATTTAGCCTTGCAAAATAATGTTTCTGGAGTCCTTGAAACTTTCTGTAAGAACTCTTTTTATTTCAGTTTGATCTATTCACAGATTATTTACACAATAGGTTAGAGAGGTCTGCTCTCTTCCAGCTAGTTTTACTTAATCACTGACTCTGACTTATGTCATCTGCAATGTCAACTTATCATGCTTCAAATCTGTTACTCTAGATATTCCACCAAGTCTTCATCTCATTAAACTTACTTTCTAAACATTTCCTCTAAAGTCTCAGGTTTCACAGGGTTAGTTTCTGATGCTTTGGCCAATCTCTCTGAAATCCTGATCTCATTCTGAGGTTGAGGATGTTCTGCACTTTCCATTCTGTCAGTACGAGTGTTTCTCTGCTAAGTTAGTTGTAGACTTTCTGCTTCCTCTTCTTCCGAAAGATATTTCCAAATTTTTATTGATTTCTTATATAATAATATCAATGCATTTGAGTTCTCCTTATAATCTCGTGATCTGTTTTAACCTTACCCCATCTCAGTTTTTTTTTGCGATCATCCCTTCTCTGTTGATCTCTTACCCATGCTCTCTCCCTGGGTTACAGCTGTAGTAACTCTTGTGTTCTGTATCTTCTATTGAAGTTTTGAGACTTGGTGTTTCTATGTTTCTCCTCACAATCTTTCACTTTGTTGTGATCCGTCTCAGTGATGAGAGCTTTTAATATCTAAGCAAAAGATGAAAGTTGTATTTTCAATCGCTTGCTCATCAGTAGCTCTTGATGATAATAATAACTCATTTTGTAGTGATGAGGATCGGTAATTTAGAGCAGGATTGAAATTTTGTTTATCTTTAGTAATCCTTTCATTGTCTGTGCTCCCTCCTGAGCTTCTCCATTTGCTTGAGTATAGTGAGGTGAACTGGTAACATAAGTGAAATTGTATTCCCGTGTGAATCTTTTAACCTGCCTGTGCAAACTATGGACCATTGATACTACTGTCTGGAATTTTGTGCATTGAGTGGATTCTCCAGGTGATTTTATTGCTACCTCTGCTGTGATACACTTTGAATGATAGTTATGATGAAAATGAAGATCTTCCCTTTGAACTCAAATAAAGCCATTCTCCGGCCTTTAATGGAAAATATTAAGGTAATGGTCGTCCTCTTTTCTCTTGACATTTTTGTAGCACAAGGCATACACCTAGTGACCAGTTCCTGTATAGAGTGGCCACCTGATTGATTGATTGCCCTTGAATGATACTTTGTAATTCCTAAGTGTCCGTGGTGGATTTTTTTGAAAAATCTCAAACTGAAAATTTCTCAGTATTTACTAATCTCTGGTTGAATGCTAGTGATATAATAAAACAAAGAACTATGGATGCTGGAGATCTGAAACAAATGTAAACCAAAATTGCTGGAGAATCTCAGCAGGTCTGGTAGCATCTGGAGAGAGAAAACAGAATTAACATTTTGAGTCCAGTGACCCTTCCTCAGAACTACTTCTGTTCTGTTCTACTAGATCTGAAGGGCTACAACTCAAAATATTAACCAATGACAGTGAGGTGTTTGCGCTGTTCAGAATACTGGTGCAGTAATTAATTGTTCCATATATAGTCTCCCCATCTTTCCAGACAGTATTTCTGGGCTTGGATGTATTCTTCATCTTGTTCTTGGACTTCTTCCAACTTCCTTTACATAACTGATAAGTTCTTTTGCAACTTCTGATGTGTAGGCTTCAACTTACTCCATGAATTCTAAGTCGTCTTGTTCTGTTCCATTCAATGATACCCTTGAAAGTCTACCTTCTGTTGTTTGGTCCTTCTGTCTTAGATTCTTCGTAGGCACAATTCTCTGTCAAACAGTAAAGATCATTAATGAATGAATCCATGCCTTCCTCTGGCCTAAATTATTGCTATTAAACTTTGCCTGTTCAGTAATTAAATTTAATTCAACTCTAAAATAAGCATTGAATACACGTAATGAACTTTCATATGATGCTGCACTCTCAATGCCTTGCCTTATTAATATATTGGTAGCGATAGTTCCCACAGGGAATGTACTGACTTTGTTCTTCTAGCCTGCCTTATTTAATCCTGAAGCAGTTTCGTACATGGTACATCTTTCTTCTACTTCCCCATTCCTGGATCTGGGTGTGGTCTGTTGAATGTTTCTGTGGGTGGTAGGTTGGTTTTCGTATCTCTCCTGAGCCCTAGAGCTGTTACTGCAGCTGCTACAATGTCTTGCGGTTTATTGATTGGGGCATTGCTCACTGTTTTACAGCTTTTTGCTTTCCCACCAGGCCTCCAATGTCCTGGTGAGCCTTTGAAAACATATTTTTCTGTTTTTCTTGACTGTGAGATTCCCTTCAGTTGCTGACTTTGATGCTTTCTCTGCCTTTCCTGTTGCCACCATGTTTTGTCTTGTGTTTGAAGTCTAGCTCTGCTTAGTTTCCCAAAGAAATACTGCCAATGTCCATTGCAACTTCCTGCAAGAACTTGTTAATTACAGCTTTATCTAGACATACATTATCTTCAAAAGGTTAGAACTTCTGCTCCCTTCCAACACTCTCCACTTGATCTTGTGACTTTAATGCCATTGCATCATCAACATCATCAGCAAGTATGCTTCTGTTGTTAATCCCATTCTCTCCAGGGAAAAAAAAACTCCTGCTTCTCATGGCCCCGTCAATCCTGTCATGGTGCTTCTCTTCTCCCGAAGCTGAAGTTGTCTCACATGAAATGCCAGATTTTCCAGGATTTGTGAATCTCGGGAACACACTTGCAAAACCTGCAGATGACTGAATTGGAGGCTACCAACTTTATTAAATATTTAAATTGCTGCCAACATGCCTGCTGTAAATGGGTTAGTTCCAGGTTGGAGGTGACTTCATAAAATACTCAGAATTTTGCCTGACACTACCCTATCCACCCCCAAATCTTATTTATTTATTCATGTTAAAACTTGCCAGCTATGTCCTAACCTACCTCTGCCTAGTGACTGCTGATAGTCTACTACAGTTGACTTTGTACCTGCTGAATGCATGCTATATTCATAGTGTGGTATCTAGACTGATCAAGCCATTAGTCCTAACAAATTTTAATTTTTCAGTTCATCTGAAAATATTTATCTTGTTTTAAAGGACAGTGACGGAGATAAAAGTGATGACAATTTAGTAGTGGATGTTTCTAATGAGGTTTGTACTTTTTTTCATTTTGTGTGTCATGCTGTCTCCTACTTTATTAATGACCTTGCTGCAATGTTTAACTTTTGTTGTTTTGAAAGGATGCTAGATACAATATTCAATGTTACTTAACATTTTGCTTGAAATAATGGAAAATGGAACTTAATTCAATGTAATAAGCATTTTACATTGTCTTCACACAGTGTAATTTCAAGACTTTTTTTTTCCCTCTTCCCATTCCAATTGTTTAAAGATGTTTATCTGTATTGAGCAATGGTTCAATGGAAATCCAAGTACCAAGACAACTTGCAAGTTCAAAGGATATTTCATCATAATAGGCTTTACAGCTGAAATCGATCCTCCTTTTAGTTGCTGTCAACCCACAAGAATATTACAGCACTTAACAGCAACATGAGCAGGAACCCCAATTGAAATTTACCACCATCCCCAAACGCTGAGAGACTCTGGTCAAGTCTTTATCAGCTTATTTATACTGGTTTTGATTCTCTTGTTTAGATAAAAATATTGAGTTTGATGAGAAGGTGCACTGTTCTTTCTTCTGTGTTCCAGTTTATAAATCTTGATGTCTTCTGATAAACATTTCAATGTCTTATCTCTATGTTTGCTGTGTTGGGGTAGATCATTGTGTGTGAACAGGGAATCATAGCCTTCTTTAGAAGGATGAATAGTTAACCAATTTCCCCAGACTGTCTTCATCCGTAACTTTATTTGCAAGTTGGATTTTTAGAGCATTTATTGTGCTGAGGGATGTGAAGATAAAATATCATGCTGTGATTTGGTTTATTTTAAAATCTTGTTTGGTCCTTCTTTATGTTCTCTGGTGTGGAGGATATCTGTGCCAACAGTTGGAATGTTTTCCATTTTAGGTATTGGTATCATAGTCTAAACCTTTCCTTCACCTCTTTTAACCCCAACACAGAGGACACCCCTTGCATTCTCTCCTTGAATTGCATCATTGATCTACTTTCCCTTTCTGCTGTCAGCTATCACTTAAAATCATTGGGATAGATTACTAATTAGTGCCACATTGTACCTGAATTTTCATTATGAATAGACGGAAGCATTACACTTAGACCTGAATTTGCCCCTCTATGTCCAATAGAAAGGAGAGTTTGATGTGGACTTTAGCCTGGAGGTGAGTTCTGCCTGGTTGGGAGGATAGAGAATGATGCCATGAGGTCAAAGAAATAATTTTCTAGTATGCCCTACAGAAGTCAACTGCCATACTCCTGCAGGTTTCTTATTGACAGGCTTGGAGACCTTTCAGACAAGAAGCTTGCTTTGCAGGGTTAAAATTTACCAGAGCAGATAGATGAATGATATGGTGATGGGATGGCCCAGATCAAAGGAGTGATTGGAGAATCCTGTGGTGGTCCATAAGTGTCAATTACTGTGGGAGTCTCAGATGGTGGTTTGGCAGGTTCCAACCACAGGTAAGGAGATGGGGAACACTGCTGTAAAGGCACTTACCTTGCAGATTCACCTGTTCTCCCCATCTTTAAGTTACCAGGTTTCCTCAGGTCTGGGAGACTTGCTATCTATGGTGGAAATCAGCCCAATTACCCCACCCAAGTTGTAGCTAAAATCCCTCAGCCCTGGAACAATTTTTGTACATTTCCTCTGCCCTCCCTCAAGGACCTTCCTAAATTGTGATGACTAAGACTTGATGCAAAACTCCAATTGTGGCTTAACCAGAGCCCTATAAACTTTTAACAAAACTTCTGTTTCTCTCCTTAATTACCCTGAGGCACAAGATCTCACATGCTTTGCTAATTACTCTCCAATATGACCTTCAAAGATCTATGCTCATGAACCCCCAAGTCCCCATGTCTCTGTTTACTCTTTAGAACTATGCTATTAAGTCAATATTATCTTTCACTATTCTTCTGCCAAAATGTATTGCCTCAGACTTTACTGCTTAATTTCTATCATTTGTCTACCTGTTCTATTAAACTAGGTATCAAACATGGCAGTCAATTTATATCATCCTTACTGTTGGTCACACCTCATCTTTGACAAATTCTGAAATTTTATTTTGTATTCCAAAGTTGTAGTAATTAATATCTATCAAAGAAAGCAGTTATCATTACATTGAAACTTGGGAAAAACCATTGTCTGCCATCCTTCTGTCTAAACAACAGCCATTTACCCTGGCATGCTCGTTTTGATCCTACAACCAACTTTTTATCAAAGCCACTGATGGTATTATTCCATGAGCCTGAATTTTATTAACCTGCCTTTTATCTGGCAAAGTTGTCAATTTGTTAATGCATGAATCTCAAGAATATTTTCTATCTGTTGTGTAGGACCCATCATCGCCACGAGGCAGTCCTGCCCACTCACCACGTGAAAATGGCTTGGATAAATCTCGCTTACTCAAGAAGGATGCTTCCAGTAGCCCAGCTTCCACAGCATCTTCTGGCAGCTCCTCATCTCTCAAATCCAAAGAGCTAGGCCATGTGAGTATCAGGTGTAAACGTTTTCATTTAAATTATGCCAGAAGCTGCACAAATCAAAGTTGGTTAACAATGGAAATGTATTTGTTACCTTAAAAATAATTTAGAGCAGAAACTAAATGACTTTAGTATAACAAGATTAGACACATCCATAATTGTGGCTATACAATAATTTTGCTCATGTTGGCAAACCCTATTTTGTTTAGAATTGGGAATAAAGCATTATGTAAATGCTGTCTTGATATTTGGCGTTGGAAATATTTGAAGTAAGTCCTATAAAGATTAAAGATTGAGTCTTGCAGATGATTTTTAAAACCATGCATGCTAAATTGTGCACATGTGGTGGAATAAGTATTTATACTGTGAGACGTCTTGATCCCAAATTTACCAGGGAAGTAATTTAGTATATACTAGTAGTTATATTATAGATGTTTAGCAGCTTAGATAAATTCAACTGTTTCACAAAACATTGTCAGTGTAACTTGCCTGAAAGTGACTTCCCCTTCAAGGACTCTGAGTGCCGTGAAGATGCAGTATTGAGATTCTTCATGTCTGCGAGCTGCACAAAATAATCAGTTGTTTTGCTGCAATTCCATTTTTATAAATTGAGATGTATTTTACTGTTTTAAATAAACTAACCCACAAAGTTGTTCAACCCCTGATAGATAATTGATTATAAGACCATAATCAATAATATTTCATGGTGGCATTTGATAAGATAACATTGTGCTGATGATACCTCCTGCTCTTGATCAGTTAGCAAGCAGGTAATTTACAGGTGAAGCACATGGTTAACATTCTTGAAAAACAGTTTGCTGGTGAGGGAAGAAAACTGGCAGACACAATCGTATATGCACATAGCGAATGAAGTCCTTAAAGTCCTTTAAGAAGACTTAACATCTAGCTCGTTGCTGCTTTGTGTCTGCAAGCTACACATGCAGAAATCAGTTGTTTGTTTTCTCCAGTGTCTGCTTTATAACTTATAATGTAGTTTAATGTGTTGCAAAGCAGACATTAGAGAAACAAAACAACCAATTTCAGTATGTGCAGCTTGCCGGCACAAAGCAGCATGGAGTCAGATGTTAGGTTTTTTTTTTGAAGAACTTTAAGGGCTTAATTTGCTATGTGTTTTAAGTAAACGAATCTACTGATTCGTGATGAGTGATTGATTATTGGACCATTAACATTATCATGACACAGCATCAAATTCAGATTTAACTCCACATGCTGATGTTGTCTGTTAATTAGTTTAAACAATTAGGTTTGGTTTTAAAACGTTTATTAGTGTCTGTTACCTGAGATGCCAGTGCAAAACTTATCTTTTATGCTTTTCTATTGACAGTATGTATTGTGAAGTACGATTTACATGCTGCATGTAAATGCAGGATTTTATAATGTATAACCTTGACTGAGAGAAGACAGATATGATCTGAATGATCATTGTTTGTCTGACGTAAAAGTGCATGAGTGCAACATGCAGCAATGCAACAATTAGTACCTAATTTTGCAACTGGAAGTTTTATTCAAGTAATGCCATTTTATATATTTGAAGAGAAGCTAGCCTTCTAGTTTCCATTTGCAATCTAATCTGTAATCTCAAAATAGCTGGAAAGTATTCATTCAGATGTCTACATAGATCAGTCATGTAGTAACAGACTGAATGTTTACATTCAATTCCTGGAGTGGAATTTTCCCATGCCTGGAGTGACATGGGCATTGGTGAGAAATGTGGGAAAATAGGCAAGAATGAAACAATCTAATTCTTGACATCAAAATAAAATTTCCAATTTTTCCTTTGAGGTTTCCATGGCGAGATTAGAATTTCACAATAAGTGGCAACTAACTCATTTTCATGTATTTACATCTGATTAATAATTCAAGTTGTCTCATTTATGTGCAGCTTGCAGTTTTTGCCTCCTTTCTTAAGCAATTAGATAGCAACAATTCTAAATTGAAAGTCAAAAATTACCTGACAGATGCAGCTCTCTGCTTCTTTATCTAAACCTCCATTTTAAAATCATCTCGCCAACATGTCTTTGAATTCTCTATTGACAACATCCTCGTTCACCTAAGTCAGCAGTGACAAACCACCAGTCTTACCACATTATCATGGCCAATTTTAGGCTGGCTTAGACTTTATTTAAAGTCGTCACTTTGGAGCTCAGGGGAACCATTGACTTGCATGCTTGTGATGGATTGCTTTGCAAACAGGATACATAACTATCTCTTGCATCTATACATGATGCATCCTAGAGCTCTTAACTTCATTTTGTAGCATTAATTCACTTTGCACTTAATTGGAACTACCAGCTTCAGTGATTTCTTTTTGTATTCACTCATGAGACATGGGCATCGCTGGCTGGAACTGTATTGCCTGTAAAATGCCATTAGAGAGGGAATTCCATGCTTTTGACCCAACAACACTGAAGGAAAAGTGGTATATTTCCAAGTCAGGATGGTGAGTGGCTTGGAGGGGAACTTGCAGGTGGCGGTGTTCTCATATCTGCTGCCCTTGCCTTTTTAGTTGTAAGAGATTGCCGATTTGGAAGGTACTATTTAAGGATTTTTTGTGAATTTCTGGAGTATTTCTTGTAGATAGTGCATACTGCTGCTACTGAATGTCAATGGTAGAGGATGTGGACATTGTGGATATGGTGCCAATCAACAGGCTTCTTTGTCCTGGATGGCGCTAAGTTTCTTGTGTGTTCTCGGAGCTGCATCCGAGCAAGCGGGAAGTATTCCATCACACTCCTTACGTGTGCTTTGTAGATGGTGGATTAGCTCTGGGGAGTCAGCAGGTGAGTCACTCACCACAGTATTCCAGGTCTCTGACCTGCTCTTTTTGCCACTTGTCTTTACAGAACCAGTCCAGTTCAGTATATGGTCGACGGTAACCCCCAGCATGTTGCTAGTGATTCTATGATGGTGACATTAAATGTCCAGGGGTAATAGTTAGATTTTATCTTGTTGGAAATATTCATTGCCTGGCATTTGTGTGGAACTAATGTTACTTACATAGCTCTTTAGCCAAAGGACAGGATAGGTCAGCACTTGTGGAGTATAAGGTGGAACAGAGCTGTTGAGTGGAGATTGTACATGCATGTGGACCATAATCATTGGTGAGATTTGTATGCGGTGGTAGTGTAATGATTGGAACCAGGTTGACTTTGTTGACTACGAGGTCATTGATTGGCCCAGGTTAACAACCCCAATCAGGAAAGCCCTGGCTGACTAATATAACCAGGACTTGGGCCTGGCCAAGCTGGCCATTAAAAGTTTCAGGCAGCGGGCCATGGAGAGGGCCATTATGGCTGACTGCCTGCCCTCTTCCGTGGCTACATCCGTGCCTGGGTGTCCCTGGAAAAGGACCACGCGGTGTGCACTAGCGCTGTTGTTGCCTTTCGGGAGAGGTGGGCACCGCGGGCTGTGGAGTGTTTTATTTCCTCCTCCAACTCCATTTTGATTTGATCCCTACCCTTCCCCTCTCTTTTTCTCTCACATAGGCATTGCCTCTACTGAGGCTCTGCCTGGTACAGGTTCCATGGCCACATGGGTGTTTTTCCTGGTGGTGGTATCTTAACAAAGTTATTTGTACACCTGGTGGGTTTTTTTTTTTACTGTGTCTCACACCTGCACATACACACAAAAAAAGAAGAAAAAGTAACCAAAAAAAAAACAAAAAATAAGATGACCAGGAGATAAGAATCTCCTCAGTTCAGGCAAATGACTCTGAGCTGGTTGGCCACAGCCAGTGTATTGGGCACAAGTAAATAAAGGGTCACTTAGTGATGGGATACCAGCCTGTGTGTAGTTATTTCAGGTAGAGTCATTGTGAGTGTGTGGTAGCAGCAAGGAGATGGTGGTACTTACCCCTGCAGTGCACCAAAGATCATTGACCTTTTGCCTACACTTCTATGTGATCTGATAACCCTGAGGATAGCACTGACCTGGACCACAATCTGTGTCCAGGCAGGCGGTGTTTGGTGCTTCTGCCTCCTCTCGTAGTCTGCCAATAGATGGCCTTCCTCTTGATCACACTGACCACTAAAACCTCCAGGTCCTTATCTGGAAAACAGGATGCCAGCTTCCCTTTCTGAGACATTTTGTTCTCTTAAGATGATGATGTGTGAGGTAGTTCCTGGCTTGCAGCATCTGGAATGGTGTGCAGCTGGGCCTTAAACAAAGTGTCACTGGTTTATTAGCCATTGGAAAGGGCAGTAATTTCACCTGTCCTGCTGCATGATTGCATGAGAAGGTTGCCAAAGAGACATTAATGACGTAAGGAGCCGAATATAACATAAAAATGTTTATTGCAAGCCATGACTGGAAGGGAGGAAGATATCGAGACAGTGAGCAGCAGCTAAAAGAGTGGATTTCCAGAAGATATTGAACAAGGTGTCATGTGAAAGGTTTTTGTACAAGATAGGAGCTAATGGTATTGGGTGCAATGTATTAGAATGGTGTGAAGATTGGTTAACACATAGGAAACAAACAATCATATTTAATGAGTCTTTTTCAGGTTGGAGCAGAGTGCAACAAAGATCAGTCCTAGGGCCTCAATTATTTACTATCTGTATGAAATACTTGGAGGAGGAGGCAGAATGTAATATATCTGACAGATGAAATTTAAGTAGAAAAACATGATTTTCTGCACTTTAATAGGCAGAATCAAAAGACAGTCTATCATTTAAATGTAGAGAGACTCCAAGAAGTTACAGGTCAGAGGAATCTGGGTGTTCTTGTGCATGAAACGTAATGAGATAGCATGCAAGTAATTTAGAAGAATAATGGAGTTTTGCCCCTTATTGTGAGGGGTTTGGAGATTAGAAATAGCAAACGCTGGTGACAATTTTTCCAACACCACAATAGGGTGATTGTGAGGCTGCACCTGCAGTGCTGTGTATAATTTTAATTACTGTATTTAAAAAAGGATATATTAGTATCAGAGGCAATTCAAAAGAGCTTTGTTAGACTGATTCCTGGGATGAAGAGATTGAGATATCAAGACTGGCTAAACAGGTTAGGCCTTTAGCCTTGAGAAGTTAGATGACTGAAGGGTGATCTTATTGAAACAGAAAACTCTGAGGGTACTTGACAGGGCAAATGTTAAGATGGTGTTTACACTAGTGGGGAATATTGAACTATGAAGCAGTTACAGAACAAAAGGGCAATTATTTAAAATTGAAATATGAAAAAAGGGTAGAGAGTAATGAAAGTCTGGAATTCTGTATCCTAGACAGTGTGGAGGCTAGATCACTGAAAGTATTTTGAGAAGAGGTAGGTAGACTTTTGAAATATCACGTTGTTAATGGCTTTGAGGAGCTGGCCTGAAAGAGGATTTGAGGCCTGGGCAGATCAGCAATGATCTAGTTGAATAGCAGGGCAGGTTTGAGGGCTAAATGGCCTACTCCTGCTCCTGTTTCTTATATTCTTATGTTCTCGTGACCCCCCACCATGAAACTCCCTGACAATTACACTGTGCCTCAGCTGTGAATATCCATGACCTAATTTGTCTGCCTCCCAATTTGTCATAACAATTTTAAAGACTTTTCTTTATTTCTGATGGCCTACTGTGAATGCGTACAAACGTGCTTAAAATGTGGTGTTGATCAATTTCCACTTTTCACCAGTTCATGGGGTCACTATTGCCTCTTCCAAAACTTTCTAGGTATTGTTCTCTCGCTTCACCAGAAATTTCCAGATTCACTAATGTCTGGGAGAATAAATTCCTTCTCATTTCTATCTTAAATTGACTTCGTCTTACTCCCCTTTACTCTGAGATTATGCCTGTGGTCCTGGACTCTCCCACAAGGAGAAACAACTTTTCCACATCTGCCCTGTTAAGTCCCCTTGAGTGGGCAAAGCCAGATACCTGCCTGTTTTTCTTGGCTCCTATCTGATCCTGTCGTGGAAAAGTGAAAACCCAAGCAGGGATTTCTGCTCTTGCATTTGCAGACATCAAGAAATCCCACTATCAAAACAGCCTTGGAGATGAACAGCATGGAAACAGACCCTTCGGTCCAACTCGTCCGTGCCGACCAGATATCCTAAATTAATCTAGTCCCATTTGCCAGCTTTTGGCCCATATCCCTCTAAACCTTTCCTATTCATATACCCATCCAGATGACTTTTAAATGTTATAATTATACCAGCCTCCACCACTTCCTGTGACAGCTCATTCCATACACATACCACCCTCTGCATGAAAAAATTGCCCCTTGGATCCCTTTTAAATCTTTCTCCGCTCGCCTTAAACCTAGGCCCTCTAGTTTTGGTTCACCCCATTCATGTCCTTCATGATTTTATAAACTTCTATAAGATCACCCCTCAGCCTCCGACACTCCAGGAAAAATAGCCCCAGCCTATTCAGCCTTTCCGCATCTGCCCTGTTAAGTCCCTTCAGAAGCACATACGTTTCAGTAAAATCACCTGTCATTCTTCGAAATTCGAATGAGTGCAGGCCCAACCCACTCAACATCTCCTCATAAGACAGTCCCTCCATAACTGGGATCAACCTAGTGAACATTCTCTGGACTGCCTCTAATGTCAGCATAGCTTTGCCTAAATAAAGGTCCCAAAACTGTTCACAGAATTCCAGCTGTGGTCTGGCTACTGCCTTCTTTAGTATTGTCAAGACTTCCCTAATTTTATACACAGTTCCCTTTGAAATAAATGCCGGTATTCCAATTGCTGTCCCAGTACCTGCTGAAATGGTATGTTAGTTTTTTGTGATTTATGCACGCGGACTTTCAAATCCTTTAGTTCTGTAGCTTTCTGCAATATTTCTCCTTTTAAATAATAATCAGTTCTTCTGTTCTTCCTGCCAAAGTGCAGTACTTTATATTTTTAAACGTTACTTTATATTTTTAAACATTACATTCCCTTGGCCGAATTCTTGCCCATTCACTCAACCTGACTATATCAGTCTGCAAAATCTGTACCATCCTTACCACATGCCTTCCCACCTATTTTTGTGTCCTCTGCAAATTTGGCAATAGTACATTCACTTTGCTCATCCAAGTCGTTCATGTTTTGTTAATAACTGTTGTCTCAGCACTGATCCCTGTGACACCCCACTCGTTACAGGTTGCCATCATGAAAATGCCTTTTTATTCCCAACTCTCTGACTTCTTTTAGTTGGCCAATTCTCTATCCATGCCAACATACTACTTCCAAAAACCAACATCTTATTAAGTAACCTAATGTGTAGTATCAAATGTCTTCTGGAAATCCAAATATTTCACATCCACTGCTTCATCTTTATCTACCTTGCTTCTTACCTCCTCAAAGAATTCTAATAAATTTATCAGAGATAGTAAGAACTGCCGATGCTGGAGTCAAAGATAACATAGTGTGGAGCTGGAGGAACACAGCAGGCCAGGCAGCATCAGAGGAACAGGAAAGCTGACGTTTTGGGTCGAGACCCTTCAGAAAGTGTCTTTTTCTGAAGAAAGGTCGTGACCTGAAATGTCAGCTTTCCTGCTCCTCTGATGCTGCCTGGCTTGCTGTGTTCCTCCAGCTCCACACTGTGTTAATAAATTTGTCAGGCTTGATTTCCCTTTTATGAAGCCTTGCTGACTATGCTTGATCGTATTATGTTTTTTTCTGAATGCTCTGCTATTACATCCTTTATAATAAACTCTTACCATTTTCCCAATAGACAATGTTAAACTCATTGGCCTTATAGTTATTTTTTTTTTGTCTCCTACCCTTTTTAAATAAGTGTGTTGCAATGACAGTAGTTTTAGATAAAACTAGAAATGACTAATTGTATCCACTTTGATCTTTTGAAAAAAGACCTTTGCAGCATTTCTAAGCTCAAAGTTTTCTTGACTAGCTGTTTCCTCTCTAGTCAAGGAGTGTTGAGGGTAATA